TTATCTTTAATTGTGAACGAGTATTTCCGCAGTCGGCTATACCCGATTGTAAAAATACCTATTTGCTTTTGTTACCCGCTCTCTCTTCCTTCCTCTCTCGCCGTCTCTCTGTTGCTAGCGCCTTAGCCAACATTATCCAAACATAGCTCAAAAGACATTAGTCCACGAAGCAAAAACCAAGCCAACCACTGCACAAACCTAAAACCACTCAGCAACCCAGCAGCCCATCGACCCAGCAACACCCAGCCACCTGGCATAGTTGCACGTAGTTGGCCTAAACTGTCGATGAATGGCAGTCACATTCAAATATTCATGCTGTTTGGCCCTGGCCAAAGCAAATTACGTAGCTATGCAAAGCGATGCCAATGCCTGAATTTTAATTAGCAAGCACAAGAGGGGGCGGAAGTTGAAGAAGTGGGTTTGGGCGTAAGTCCATACATACGCATAAATAATAATGGGGGTGGGTGGGGTCATATGAGTGTGTGCGTGGGTGTAGCTCGTTTATAAACATGAAACGTTTTGCCTCAACTCTCTGTGTATTGTGGCAGGACAAGGCGCACGAGCTGTGGCAGCTCCTATGGCCATTCCTCCGGCATAGCCTGTGCTCTTTGGTCGGCCACAGGGCATAAAATAATTACGCGGCTTGACGCAACAAAAAAAAAAAAAAGAAAATTCAAATTCATTTTGCTGTCAAAAACTGAAAACGAGAGAGCGAGAGAGAGAATGACTGAGTGGTCCTTGTCGTTGTGCCGCAATTACTAGCTGCGAAATACATTTACTTCGAGCTGCTGCTTGCAAATGAAATGAATAAAGCCGGAAACGGAAATGCGCAGTAAACAACGACGGCAGCAGCAGCAGCAGCACCCACTACCCACCATCCCCTGGCCATCACCCACCAGCCAGTAGCAGCAGCAGTAGCAGCACACTAACTGGCACAGTGACAAACAAAAGTAAACGCACATACACACACAGAGACATACAGAGAGACAGGCGGGCATCCTTTTATGCACAGCCTCATCATTGGCCGGGCCACTCTCCACTCTCGACTCGCCACTCGAAATGTCAGACTCTAAATTGATTTATCGATTTACATGCAATTGCATTTCAATTTTATATGAACAAACACACAGGCAGCAGCAGACCTCTGCTCGCCCACTCACGCCGCCTGTCTCACTCTCTCTCTCTCTCGCCGTCTCCGTCCCCCTGGCTAATGGAGTGCATTGCGTTTACTGCAGTTGTTCGGATGTTGTCCTAGTGATTGTGGTCTGTGCTTTGTGTGTCAGTGCATAACCTAATACACACATACACACACACACATAGACACATGCATATCAATATTGATATATACAGACACATGTGCACACTAAACTAATAAGCTAAACTAGGACGCTAAGAATAGAGTCAGCAGAAATTCAATTTAAACTTTAATAGGAGAGGAAGTTAGAATAAGGGACTTAAAGTTGACTAAAAGCTTAAAGTGGATGATATAAATATATTATATAACACACAACAAGTTGATATCTAAATAAGCCTTAATATCTTTTATAAGATTTTGAAATATTAGACTGCCGATGCTTCAAGTATGCTTAGAAATAAAGCCCATAGTCCTATTCAGAATGAAAAGAAACTAAAAGATATCGGGGCAATTTTATATTTCGCATCATTAGAGAATTTCTTATAGAAAAGCCCACATAAAGCCCCAATAGTTTAGTAATCTATTATATATATAGATATTGCCAAATAAGCAGTCCTTAAGTGAAAGAGGATATCTATGAGTCAGGCTATCCTTCTGATACTAAATGCATATAAGTAGAGTTGCCTACATTAGAGCGCATTGATGCTTTGGGAGATAATAAACCTAAAAAAGAAATTGATATAGAATATTCGGTACGTGTTGCAAGGACTAATCGAAAGGACGTCTCACTTGCGCTTTCATTTGCAACGGCACAAAAACAGCTGCTGAACGGTGACGGCGACAGCGACGTCGACTGCAAACCTGCATTCATGTCAGACGCAGGCGCTGCTGCGTTCGTCAAATGCAGCAGCAATAGCAACGATAGCCGCTGCAGCACCAGCTGCAGCTGCCACTGCAGGCCTAACGGTAAATCACGAAAACTTTTATTTGACTGTTTAGTGAAATGCTAAGCACGACGTCAGCTCACGACGCCGACGCCAATCAATAATATGGCAAAGCAGCGCCAACGCGTGTCCCACAGCTTTTGAGCGTAAAACGTAAAAGCTTTTCGCCTGTGCGCTAGCAACGGAGCCAAAAGTTGTAAAGCTTCAGCCGAGTGACAAAATGCCGAAAGCCGAATGCCGAACGCCGAATGCCGACCGACCCGAGTGCCGAGAGTGCGCGCGACGTCACGCACAGAGAAAGCACACGAATGCAGCCAACCACATGACGCCTCAACTTTATTGTTGTTCTTTTTTCACTGCGTTTGAGCTAAACCGAAGCTGAGCCGAATTTGATAGCTCAAACGAAGCTTTGCCAATGCTGCTGCTGCTGCTGCGACTGCGGCTGCTGCTGCCAAATTGTCTCAATGGTCGCTGGCCTCGTGGTCGCGAAAGCTTTGCAAGCGCCTTTAGTTGTATACGCAACGTTTCAGCTAACAAAACACGAGACACGGAACGAAGTGTAGAAAGAAGAGAAAAATAAAAGCAAATAGAAAAGAATACAAAAAGCGCGACGCGTACGGAAATTGTGACAAAAAAATATTAAATGATACAAAAATAAATTAATCTATATATATCTACAAAATATATATATACACACATATATATATTATAATTAATGAAAAGTGCAAACGCTGAAAGAGCGCGAATCATTGAGCAAAAAAAAAAAAGAAAGAA